AAGTTAAACTTGATGGTCCTTATTTTCAGGTCCTTGTGCAGTAGGGCAACAAAAACAAACAAATCTAGGTCAGAATCACCGTTCTGAGCCGGAAACAAATTGAAAAGGACTTTTTAGTGAAAAAAGTTTGATGTTTTTTTGCACAAACTGAGTCAATAAAACGTTCACGTGTTGAGAAACATTCACTTTCAAAATAAGACCATTCATGTTTTTATGAGGCTACTTTTCAAAATACAGCACGTTTGTGTTCATGATGTGAGTAACTTGCACGTGTGAAGGCACAGTGTGTGATTTCTGCAGGTTTTAGAGCAACAAATGCAGCCAATTCAAACAGTCTTTTTAGGAAAACACTTGTTTCTTTGCAGCACAATCAGACATTAGTCCAGCTGTTAAAATCATTCATGACGTAAAAACAGAAAACTTTTCACTTCACCTGTCTGGCCTCCTCAGTAAAAGTTAAAGAGGGTTGTAAAGAAAAATGATGTTAACACAGAGCCACAACTTTTGTGAGGATAAAGGTACTGGAATGAAAATTTAAATTAAGTTCTATTTTTTCTTTGTTCTAACATCTTTGTCAAATTTACAATCAAATATCAAATGTCCATGCTTCATGCCCTGTGGCCATGAAAGGTGTGCCGTGGGATATGTTGCGTGCATGTGTGTGAGTTTGTCTGACTTTTACAGGAAAATACTGTATCTCATGAGCCAGTTGATGAATTATTCTTGAAACTCACTGAATGTACATCACAACAGATTATATATGGCATTAGCCTGATTCAAAATGACCACCAGAGCCAATCAGAAATCAAAAACACAAAAATCACCATAACTTTGTCAACTTTGACAGATAATGAGCTGAAGTTTGGTGTGAAATAGCAGCTGAATGTCTTCCTCAGCACATTAACAGATCACTCAACATCTTTGCTTAAAACTTTGGTGGTACTTTTTTAATTTTTTAATGTCAGCTTTGTTTGTTAGTTAAATATCTCATGAACAGCTGGACAGATTTTAATAAAACTTTAATAAGACTTTCATAAATCAATCATTAGTTGTACAATTTAATAACTTTTGCAGTCAAACTGATTCAAGATGGCTGCCACAGTTACTAAACTTGAACTTGAACTTGAACTAAACCTTTGCTACACAATAATGTCTACATTTTAGTCAGTTTAACCAGAGTGTGGAGTAGAGTTGCGATTTCTGGCCCAAGTTCGTGCCCGACCCGACCTGATCCGAAATTCGGGCCGGGTTGGGCCAAAATGATGTTCTTGATGGGCGAGCCAGGTTAGGCTCGGGCTCTTGATGCAATTTTATTTGCGCATGTGACCTCATCCACCCTTTGCTCTTATCACACACCCGAGGATTTGCAATTGACTCACAACAAGCGACATAATGGAGCTGGAAAGTATTAAACAAAACTAAAAAAGGGGGAACTCACAGCAAAGCCAGCACAGTGAAACTTGCTGATGTGTGTCAGGTCAGGTGCACGCTTAGGTTCAACCGGCCAGTTGAAACTTAAAAGATGTAAAAAAAAAGTTGCATGAAGCTTCAGATGGACAACCGGATCACCGGCCGCGGACGTTCAGCTCCGCACCCTGCTGTCGTCTGCGGTGAAAGAAGTTTCAACATCTGAATCTATATAAGTCGAAGCGAGCAGCCCGTTCAATTAAAATAGCCTTGTTTTATATTTTTCAAATAATTTTGCTTTAAAAATATTTTTGTTCATCTGCATAATAGCCTATCTTTAGAGTTTTTATTTATTTATTTAGGCTATTCGTTTTGTATGTTAATATCCATTTGGTGACTTGTTAATAAACAAAAAAATCCTATATCTTCCTTTTTTGACATACGTTTTTAAAACTATCATGTCAAATTGATTTGCATACAAAAGCTGCAAAAGCTTGATTAAAAAAAAAAATCTTTTTTTTTTTTCAGGTTTGGGCCTGTAATTACAATTAATTGGTCGGGTCGGACTCGGGCAAAATGCCTACAAACTAGGCTGGGTCAGATTTTTTAGGCCCAAATGCAACTCTAGTGTGGAGATAGCTAAGAGTCATCCTTGGTGTGTACCCCGAGCAATAAAAAAAAGTATGTTTTTAATTATATTCTGTTTTTTTATAAATTACAGTGTTCTAAAATGTGTTGCAGATACAGAGCTGTACATTTTTCTCAGTAGAAAAACCTTCATCTCTGTAGAGACGGGCTAGATTTGATCAAATTGGTTTATATTTTAAGTTGTTGCTAATTTTCTGCTTTCATTGTGTTTTTAGATGTTTGTAACAGGAAAAAAGAAATAATGTGTATTTCATTGTGCTGCTTTCTTTATAAAAATAAAATTGAAACGATGAAAGGCACACTATTTGAACAAGCAATTAAGGCTGATTCAGCAAAAACGTTGTGTTTGGATATTCATATACAAAGTACAATACAAGACGATTTGAAGTTAACATTTATTTGCATATTTTTCGTATGTCAAAAGAAGCATTTAAATTAAACCATGTTTAGATGTATTTTATTCAGTATATTTAAAAAGTAACCTCTTTGTGATACCTTTAAGCCAAAATAAAGGGTCTGTTTTGTGACAAAAACAAAAAAGGACTATCTAAATTCCACAGGGTAAAAATGAAAGTCTTTTCTCAGCTCAGCTGTTTATGACACTCCTTTCACTCAGCGCTCCATCACGGTGCCATCCTCTTGACAACGACAACAATAAATCACGCCAGTTTTGCTGTATCATCATGCTACAAATTCATCCAGAGGAAGTTGTTGCAATAACAGCTGTTTATGAACATTACCTGTTATTTTTGTCCAGTCCTGGAGCAGTTTTGGCTCCATGTCTGTTCTATGTGCAGCACAAGTGCTAGGCAGAAAAACGACACAACAGCAACAATTACAACATGCTTTTATTGTTATCCAAAATAGAGATAATTTCCTCTTTGTGATAATTTGATGCGCTGTGTTTGTTACAACCAATAGATTTCCCAACATAATCCCTTGTGCACAGTTATTCCTCTAGAAAAATGCCACATGTTTATTTGTTATAACTCGTAAATTCTTTCTTTTAATTCTTCAAAGGCCGTTGGTAAGAGGGCAGTGTGATTTACAGCAGTGGGCCATGGTCTCTTTTGTTGGGTGTGTGTGTTTTAAAGGCAGCTTTGCACTCTGTGCTCCTCTGGTTTGATGCCGCTGTGGTTCGCCTCAGGGCAGAGTGGCACCACATGATTGATGCTCCTGACAGGAGATTGAAGGCGATTCGGTCACTTTTCTTGGCTCACTTTACGAGTCCTGCAGGGCCGCTTTTAACATCGACTAGATAATTGTTGCAAACACCTAAATGCACTATTGTCTTCACAATAATGTGATGTTGAAACATAAAAGAAGTTCATGGTGTCAGAAAATACACCTGATTATTTCATCTCTTCTGCATTGGTACCAAAGCCTGAGACATAATGTTAAGGACCAGCGAAGAAACTTTTTTTTTCTCTGTGTTTTGATTCTAAATAGCTTTATTACTTGCCTGACAAAGATTTATAGGCGTTTTATGAAAAACAAAATTCTCCACAACCCAGACCACTGGGAAGAACTCATCAATCCCCGAGCCTCAAAATTGCAGCGCAGATGAATAATCCTTTGTGTGGGCTTTAGGTTGGCCAACACCATCTCGCGAAGAATGCACAAACAGTTTTGTCTCAAGCCCCCATTGTGCTCACCAGAGAATATAAATGGTTTCACTTAAAAAAAAAAAAAAAAAAACTGTCAACTGAAGCTTGCCGGAAAAGTATTTAGCATATTAGGATTATCCTTTTAATGTTGTATGAAATCTGCGTAATTAATTTCAGTGCGCAAAACACCTCATTTTATTTGATGTTTTCATCCAGCATTCGTTTTAAATAAGCATGATAAACACTACACTATATTTTGCCACTGATCTCAAACCCCAAAGACCATAATCTGCCTTATTTTCATGACAAACACTGTGCTTTGTAGTGCTGGCTCTATAAAACATCCCATCCAAAAGTTGCAACACTTTTTTCCTCTGTAAATATGATCATTTTTATTCAATCTTTTTTGTTCCCATCAAATGTCCTTTTTCTGTTGCCGCACTCTTAATGGTAACAAGATATTCAGCAAAGCGCAGCTGATCTGCAGCTCTTTTGTCCGGGCTCCCACAGAGAATACAATCTCACTCCAGAGTACCGCGGCTGCAGCCGTACAATTCCATCAGCATAAACGCTTCACAAGCACTTACACACAAAGTATAGGGGCGAGAAAAACACTGCTTCACACAACAAGAATCCCCTTTCCCGCCTGTACAAAAACAGACAACTTCTGTTTTTGTTCCGCACTGAATATCCTAAAACGTGGATTTTATTTTTCAAGGAGCCACGAATTAACATTTCTCCTGTTTATTTTCACTTCACGTTCGGAGACATAGCAAACGCTCCAGTTTGTCAAGATGTAAACATTTCAGAGAACCATTTGTGCAAGAGTCAAAGAAAAATCATTCAATAGTGTGCAAAAAAACCCCACAAAAACAAACCCTGCAAACAAAAGGTTAACTCAATCTCTTCACAAATAATAATTTAAAGTGACCACTTCCTCTGGCAAAGACACCTGCATCCTCTATGTGCCCTTCCAAAAATCAGAATCACTTAACAGACTTAATTATAATTGTCCCCTCTATGCTACAGTCAATGTCAGCTGTGTCTTTTAATTCTCTAATCAGTGGTCGGCAGGACCACTATCACCATCCCCATGCAGCTCTCCACTCAATACAGACATCCCTAAACACACACACAGGCTGGTTTTGTCAAATGTTTTATTGAGTGTAGACATCTGGCCTACTGTAAAACATGCATTATCTGCAGAAGGGGGAGAGGAGCAGGTGGCATTGTCCCCACTGTCAGCTGTGTCAGTGCTGGCAGCCGTGATGGAGATTAATGAAGTATCTGGAGAGTAATATGCTCCTTCAAATGCTGCAACAATTTGGAGAGGGGGGTGTCTGATCCTGATCTTAAATGGCTGAGCTGTCTCTCACTTTTAAGTGAGGTGAGATTTGATCTTGGAAGATGGGAAACTGAAAGTTATGACGTGACACTCTTCAAAAAGCATGAAAGTAAAATATATCGAGACAGCCGAGTAATGTGAATCTTATTGAGTCACTTCTTCTTTGGTGCATTTGGTGCATTGAATTTGAAGAAGATGATGTCTCCATCCTCAACAATGTAGTTTCGTCCCTGCTGTCTATATTTTCCAGCTGCCTGTAAGAAATAAAAAAAAGAGACGTATTTAAAAAAAACAAAAAAAAAACAACACAATTTAGCTGTTCAGTTAACAGTGAAATGAGTGATATAAAACACATGATAGAGCTTTACATTGTTAAAGATAACAAAAAAATAGACATGCAGGATTAGAGTCTATATTTGATCATTTGTAATAACTAAACTGAATTTGCATGTTGCAAACACATACACACACACGTACACACACAACTGCATGCATGTTAGCTGACAGGGTGTCTGAATTCCCACTGAGTGAGTAATCCTCTCTTCTGCCCATTTGAGTTTTCATGTGCACAAGCACAAAATGTTAATAAGTCTTTGATTATAGCACTATGAAACTTCTCAAGGAAACAAAGTAAGTTCTAACATTTCTTTTGTGTACAGTAAGTGTTTGTTCTCCTTCCTGACAAACTCAAAATAATTGACTTGAAGTGCTAATACAGACAGGTTTATGCATTCTGGTTCTGCACGGTGCACAATTAATTAGAGGAATCAATGTCCCTTTAAAGGCTCAGGAGACCATTTAATCCAAGTTCAATACCACCAGAAACACTGGATGGAGAGGGAGAAAGGAAAAAAATCAATGACTATTTGTAATTCCTAAGTATGTATTAAACCAGACACATCTAACTGGTTCATTTGCACTTGAAAGCAGCCATCTGGAGCAGCAAGCTTGGCTTAAGCAGATATGATTACTAATAATGTGATATCCCCGTACACTGGCCCTATTCAGGCTGCCTATTCCCACAACTGGCATTAAATAGCATAGACCTTAATGCCCCAGTCAGAACCGCTCCATGTTCTTCTGCGGCTCAAAAAGGGATTAGTAAGAGAGCACGCAGTAAGGACCTGACACTCAGATCTCAACCTCGGATAACAATGGTGAAACCCCCACCCCCCCTTTCCCCAAGAGACTGACTTGTTTCCGTTAGCAGCTTATGAAGGACAATACTCTGCCACTGCATTAAATATCAAATATTTATGAAAAAAGAGAGTTTGAATAGTAAAGAGGTTTAAATGTTTTTTAGGGCTTTCTTCCACGCTGGTCCCCACGGGCCTTTTGTGTCACCGTAATTACATTAGCTGAGTGTGTAAGTGGGCACGTGGAGTTGCTGATAAAGAGATCGTAGCAGCATGGCTTACAGCTGCTGTTCACAAGGGTCACGAACAGCAAAGTTAGTCACTTCTGCTTTCATTTAAATAACCAGGAATTCAAAAGAGGTTTTCCTCCCTTCACAGAAATATAAAAAATAATTAATCCAGCAGCGTAAAGTGGTTGATTTTTAACTCATAATTTGTTAATTGTTAGACTAACAAGCAATAGTGCAGACTTTTAAAGTGGGACTCTGTGGAAAGTTTATGAAAAATTAACATCTTATCTGTTGTAGATAGCTTATTGACATTAATAAAGATGAACAACACAGCTCTGTTAACTTCCATTGTAAAGTGCTAAAATGACTCTCTATCTCTCTATCTATCTATTTATCTATCTATCTATCTATCTATCTATCTATCTATCTATCTATCTATCTATCTATCTATCTATCTATCTATCTATCTATCTATCTGTCTGTCT